AGTCCACATCTCACAAAGGGCTTTTTGATCAAGCAGCTCTTTATCTGTTGGTCGGGTTGCATTTTCTTCCTTCATAGTCGTAGGCCTGAAATTCCTCTGCTCTCCTACAGTTTCAGTTATCTTCCCAGACTTCCTGATAAGAATCTCTCTGGAGAAATCAAGACAATTCAGACGAAAAGAAAAAAGAGAGTGAGAGAGGCATGCAGAGTCTTTGATGAGATGTAGCTCAAAAAACACTTTCGGGAAAAAATATATAAACAAGCTTCTTTGGTTAAAGTCTGGCTTCTCCCTCCAAATACAGTAATTAGGGGAGACAAATTCATGCTGAGGTGCAGAGCTGATTAGACATTTTTAGTTTTTACAGCAAGATGGAATTGTAGCACAAGTTTGTTTTTTCATAAGAAACCTCTTTTCAATAGTATTGTTAAACTTTGTGTTAGTGCACTGCTTGGATGGCCCCCTCTATGGTTTATTATGATATCCAAACCTGGCAGAATCCATCTCTCTAGCTTTGCATCTTTGTTGGTAAGGTAGAGAAATATTCTTGCCATGTGTTTCTTCTTTGGCTAAATGTGAAAAAAGACAAAGCATTGCCTGCCATGCGTATCACACTGAGACCTGAATCCTACTGGTATGGTAGAGTAGGCTTGTTCAATGAATGGTATTTACATAAATGTTAACTCACCATTTAACAATGTTTGGGAGTAGCCAACAAGATTCTAGTCTAAGTATATCACAGGCTAAAGGTATCATGCCTGTAACAGGAATAATCAGCAACTGTGTATCAAGACACTGATCTTCTCAGATAAACTGGAGTTTTTATGGAATACTGGGACACATCTATACTGACCATGTAACAACAACAACTACTACTACTACTACTGCTGCTTCAACAACACAGCATTGCATAGGCAGTTCCTTGACAAAATTGAAGGAAAGGTTGATAAGGAGAAGACCTGGCTATGGCTCACAAATGGAACCCTGAAGAAGGAGACAGAAGGCCTGATTCTTGCAAGCCATCAGAACCAATGCCATTAAGGCCAGGATTGAAAAATCAGCTGATGACCCAAAATGCAGACTGTGCAAGGAAGCTGATGAAACCATTGATCATATCCTCAGCTGCTGCAAGAAAATCACACAAACTACAAACAGAGGCACAACTCTGTGGCCCAAATGATTCATTGGAACTTATGTCACAGGTACCACCTCCCAGTAGTAAATAATTGGTGGGATCATAAACCTGCAAAGGTAGTGGAAAATAAATGCGCAAAAATACTGTGGGACTTTTGAACCCAGACTGACAAAGTTTTGGAACACAGTACACCAAACATCACAATTGTGGAAAAGAAAGAAGTTTGGATTATTGATGTCGCCATACCAGGTGACAGTTGCTTTGAGGAAAAACAACAGGAAAAACTCAGCTGCTATCAAGACCTCAAAATCAAACTGCAAAGGCTCTGGCATAAACCAGTACAGGTGGTCCCAGTGGTCATCAGCACACTGGGTGCTGTGCCAAAAGATCTCAGCCGGCATTTGGAAACAATAAACATTGACAAAATCACAATCTGTCAACTGCAAAAGGCCACCTTACCTGGATCTGCGTGCATCATTCGAAAATACATCACACAGTCATAGACGCTTGGGAAGTGTTCGACTTGTGATTTTGTGATACGAAATCCAGCATATATATCTCGTTTACTGTGACATACTGTGTTTTTGTGTCAGTAAAATAATAACTTTATTTTTCTACCCTGCCTCCATCATTTCTCCGAAGGGACTCTGGGCAGCTTACACGGGGACAAGCCCGAATTCATCAAGGCTAAAATATGACATAACAAAATTAATAAAAACATTTTCAAACAATATAAAAACAACCACACATAACAGAGTATAAAACAATCATTGAACAAACCACCAATGGTCTGAGTAGTGCACAGCACTAAGGTGGAAGGGCTATGGGTCAGATCTGTGGGGGCCAAATGCTGCATGGAATTGATTCAGGATAATGCAGGAAAAGGTAATTTTAACATGGCCTTATTTTATGTTAACCACAGTTAGAGTATAGACCGAAATCTGACCCAAAATTGGGTCTGAGTAAACAGTTGGGTCAGAACCAGGATGGAATTGACTTCAACTGTTTTCATTTCCATCCCATGTTTTCTGGGCATGGATTGTCTGGGGACTCAGGATGACACTTACCATCTTGTCCTCTCCTATTCTCCGTATTGTGGCAGTTGGATATGGGTCCTACTCTCCCTTGTCACCCTGGCGAAAGCCGACCAGTAGGATCCATATCAAGGCCAGAGGTTGCCATGACATGGAAGATGGAAGTTGATGGCAGGGGTGGCTATCTAATGGTGTCACTGACTGCACAAGATTCACTCCTGCCTCCGCAACAGCTTGGGTGTGTGTGTGTGTGTATGTGTATGGCTGTGTGAACCATCCCACAGCTGATCTGGCATATTTCACACTGGATCGGTCTGGGATAGTGAGTCAGTGTAGACCTGCTCCAGGTTTATTTTGATATTAACTGTGTTTCAAAAATCCTGTCTTAATTGATAGTGACATGGTGTTAACATTGAGTCAATATTTCTGGTTATAAGCATGGATTGAGATCATGCCTGTCATGTCACATTGAGTTCTACAGATATTTGGGATGTCATTGAAACACAACACAACCACAAGAGTGATTCCTTGCTCTTTAATCTTGGAACAAGAATGGAGGAAAATCCTAGTAGTTTATTAACAAGTTGAAATGTATTCAGAGAAGGGCAAGAAAAATAATTAAAGATGTGGAAGTCATACCTTATGAAGAATGGTTGAGGTTGCTGGGTATGTTTAGCTTGGAGAAGAGGAGATAGAGACAACATGATCACTATATTTAAATATCTAAAGGGATATAATTTAGAAGATGGTGCCAGCTTGTTTTCTGCTGCTCGAGAGACTAGAACGCAAAGCAATTGATTCCAATTGCAAGAAAATAGATTCCACTGAAATATTAGGAAGATTTTTTCACTGTAAGATTAATCTGGTTGCTTCAGTGGATAGTGGATCCTCAGCCTTTGGAGGTCTTTAAACACCTCCAAAATTTTAAGAGTACTTTAGATAGATATTTCTAAATGTTGGTTCCTTCCAACTCTGAAATTCTACAGTTCTAAGACCCTTACCAAATTTTAGTTTGGGAGATGATGCTAGGAAAGTGTGAATTAAAAAGGAAATGAGTTTAAATATTTCTGACTGGCTCATTGTATCAAAAGGCTTCTTCCTCCCGCATGACTTGGGGACTCTTAGGAAAGACATGTTTTGTTCCATTGTATTGTGGATGCCAGCTTCATGGCCAAAGATGCCTGTAGCTTTAAAAAAGACACAATAAAGAGCTTTGCATCACAAATCCTCTTTGAATATAGGTAATACGTTCAATTAATTTTAAAGATAATTTACAAATACTTTTGTAAAGTATTTAACATTTGCTGGCTTGAAGCAGCGCTTGTGTCAGGATGAAAAGCTTGCTGTGAAGAATGGCTTTATTATTTCCTTGCCTCAAATTTAACAGCAGGATGCATTTGAGATACACAGCTCATATTTAATGGGTCTTAATGAAGAGCTTAGAAACTTCAGGCCTTGTAACTCCAAAGTACATTTTAAATATTAGTGTGCTTAACTATTTTTTCTGTCTGAGTATTTGGTTTTAAAAAATGGCTGTGCTCTTCCAAATATCGCTTCCTGCCTTTTGCATCATTCCCTCCACAACCACATGTTTTTGATTCTGCTTCATGCTCCTGATGAAGTGGACTCTGATCCACACAAGCATAATAAATCTATTGGTCTTTAAAGTGCACCATAAGACTGTTATTTTTGCTGCCAAAAACAATCGTTTCATTTTCCTGCCTGTTGGCTTCCCTTCCCATAAGCTCCTGTCTGGCTGTTTATTTATTTACGTGCTGCTGTGGCCCAGTCTGTGTATATGTGTTTTGTATATGTATATATGTATGTATATATTTGCGTATATGTGTGTTTGTGTATATATATATATGGTTTTGTGCATGTGTTGTATTTATTTGTTTGGGTTTTTTTTGCTTTTTAAGTCTCATCCGCTGTGTTTTGCAATGTTTTTATGAGTGATGGTCACTCGTTGGCCTGATATGTGTATTGTGTCCAAATTTGGTGTCAATTCATCCAGTGGTTTTTGAGTTGTGCTAATCCCACAAACGAACATTACATTTTTATTTATTTAGATTTGTATCCCACCTTTCTCTACCCCGAAGGGCACTCAAGACGGCTATACATATGGCAACTATTCAATGCCTTTGGACAACAAATACTTAGAATACACTTAAGTTAAAGATTAAAATTAAATGCACCTTAAAACATATAAAACATTGAAATATATAAAACATTGTTCTAGAAATAGTCTGTATAGTTCAGGATCCAGCTGGGCTAGAGTCTTCTTAATTGCCTCTTGATTTGCAGAATCCGTTGCTACACTTGATTTGCCACACTTGACTTTGTAATCCATTTCTCCCTCTTCTCTCATGAGAACTGACTGTCTTCCTCTGATCTTGGAAGTTCATAAGTCACTCAAAGCAGAAAATAAAGCCGTGTAAGCTACTCCTTTTTGATCCAGCTGTGTTGAAACTTTGATGCAAGCTGGTCTAAAAATAACACCCTTTAAATTCTTAGTGGAGCATGTAAAATACTGACCCAAAATGCTGCTTTGAATGAAATAGCCCTTTTGTTTTATGTCTATGGGTATCTTGTGTTTGAATACATAAGGGCAAATATTGCTTCAGGGTGTTATTCAGAAGCAAGAGAGGTGTCTTATGATTTGTAACACCTCTGTAAACCATACAAAGTCACACCTGCTGAGAAAACAGGGGCTTCGCTGTCGCATTTAAACAGAAACATCATTCTTTAAAAATACAGAAGCAAAATTAAAATAGCATGGCTACCTCATTATGGCAATTTGGAATTAAGAGGATTTCTCTCTTTTCTATTCCTAGATTTTGGTGTTAGTGCATTTTTAGCCACGGGAGGGGATGTGACTCGTAACAAAGTAAGAAAGACTTTTGTTGGCACTCCATGTTGGATGGCACCTGAGGTCATGGAACAGGTATGTATACTGTTTAACACATCCTTTGTGACACCTGGAATTAAGCATTCAATTGCTCATTTAACTCCTCTCTTCTGTGTTTTCCTACAACAGGTGAGAGGCTATGACTTCAAGGCTGACATTTGGAGCTTTGGAATAACTGCCATTGAATTAGCCACAGGAGCTGCACCTTACCACAAATACCCTCCAATGAAAGTAATTACCATTTGAAAATAATTGTGCAGCCTCTTTTTTGTGTATATATATTTTAAAGTCCCCTAGGTTCTAGAATATGGATCTGCAGCAAAAAGTTGTGGTGCGTTATCACCCCATAACAGTAGTAGTTTTGTTTTGGACAGGTTTGGGAACACGGATCCTCCAGATGTTGTTGAACTATACCTCCTATGAGTCTTAGCAATCATATCCAATAGTTAGGGATGATGGAAGATTTCCAACCCTTCTGTAGCTCATTGGGATTGCTATGTCTAACTACTTCGGGGAGATCTTCTGGCCTTCTGTGTGTCTCCAGTGTTTACCTGAGCAGGCAGATACTTCCCTGTTCTTTCTCAGAGGTCATGTTTGTGGCTTTGTTCCAGTCAGCACTCAACCACTTACATGTGCTATTAGAGGGAAGCTTTATTTTATTTGTTATGAGCTCGGTTCACATACAGGTCGATTTGTTGTGGCAAAGAGTGGCTGACTTAAACGCGTGAGAAGAGAAGTTAGAGAATGCCTTAACTTGTTTTCTCAAAGCGGTCTGACATGAGCATATGTTCTGAAGAGGAATGCAATCATAACGGGCAACACTGGGCTGTATTAAATCTCTTCTGTGGGTGCGGAAGAGGGATCTTGCCAAACTACCAAATAAAACGCCACCCTTTCTGAGTAAATCTTGATTCTGAAGTATGAGATCTGCATTTCTTGACTGTACAGCATGGCTAGTTATTGTGCACAACTGCCAAACATGCTGATATGTGAACCTGATGTTTGTTTTAACACGGGGGTCACTAATAGTTCACTGAGAACATACACAGAGCACAGAACAATTTTGTGAGAATATTATATCAAAAAATAATGAGTTCTGAGCAATTGCACATGTACATTGGGGAAAAACCTGTTGAGCTTTGTATGCAAATTAGTTTCCTACTTTCTTGTTTTATTGTGATATGTTTATTTGGTTTTGTTTTGATGCTATCTTATTGTGTTATGTATTTAACTTTGTGCACCCTGGGCTTGTCCGTTTGTAAGCCGCCCCGAGTCCCTTAGGGGAGATGGAGGTGGGGTATAAAAATAAAGTTGTTGTTGTTGTTATTATTATTACTGATTCATCAAGAGCCTTCTCTTTTAATTTTTCCCCATATTCCTTCCTTTCTCTCTCTTCCCCATCCCCTCTGGTCTGTTGTGCCCTCACCCGTGATATTGTATGGACAGAAAGGGCTGTTTCAGTCCACAGCATTTAGTGTATGGGACAGACTTGTGAGAATGGCCTCTGGTGCTCATGGGTGCTTGCATGCATGCATGAATGAATGTGTCCTGTAGGATTGAGGAATATAAACCTTGATGTGGTATCCTGAACAAAGCTGATAACATGGTTTGGTCTGGTTAATCTTGGATGGGAGACCACAAGGGGATAATAGGGATCTCTGGGTAGGACTAGAAAGAATTAGGTCTGAAATATTAAAAAATGGCCTTCCAGAAGTGGAGTACATTGGGCTAGTATTCTGATTCAGCATAAGGTAACTTTCCATGCTTCTAGATCTTCCTAGACTTCCCTTTGTAGACAGAAATATAATTAATGCATACTAAGCAAATATTGAAGCTGTGTCTTACAGGGTCCCCTCAGCTTCCCTACTGTAGCATTGTGAAAGTGAAGGAGTGGGGGTATCAACATTTTTGTTTTGGGCAGAGTTTCTTGCATATTTGTTAAAACAGTATTTGACTTTTTTGACTGATAGCATTTTTTCCTTGTCACCTTTTGTTTTAATTAGGTATTAATGCTGACCTTGCAAAATGACCCTCCTACGTTGGAAACGGGTGTAGAAGATAAAGAAATGACAAAAAAGTATGGCAAATCCTTTAGAAAATTAATTTCATTGTGTCTTCAAAAAGACCCTTCTAAAAGGTAGGTTTTTTGAGAAGAAATGTAGAGTATTTTTTGAGAGGAGGGCTAGGTCTGATGAATAGATTTTGCGGAAGTTAGTTAGTTTTCTGGGAATAAAATTTTATTTAGTTTAAAATGGAATCCCATTCCCTCCGGGAGCCATGTTTGGGATCTTCAGTTGACTTAATTTGCTTCATTTTTAGGAAAAGGACACACTTGGCCCTAAAAAGTCCCGTGGCTCCTATATTCCTGAAAACATGGTGAAATTGTGATATGAGGACACCATTTTAGCACATGCACGTGCTCATTCACAGGATTTTTGATTATTATTTTTTTAGTACTAGGGACTACAGTTTTTTTCCCTCTTCAAATGCACATCTTCTGAAGAGGCAATCTGCCTGATATTTAGCTTGGGTTGGCTGAAAAATTATAGAATCATAGCATAATAGAATAACAGAGGTGGAAGAGGCCAAATGGACTATCTAATCCATTCCCATGCCATGCAGGAAAAGCACAATCAAAGCACTCCTGACAGATATCTATCTAGCTTCTGTTTAAAAGATTTCAAGGAAGGAGCCTCTACCACACTCCAAGGCAGAGAGATCCACTACTGAACAAGTCTTACAGCCAGGAAGTTCATCCTAATGTTTTGGTGGAATCTCCTTTCCTGTAATATGAGCCCATTGCTCTGAGTGCTATTCTCCAAGGTAGCAGAAAACAAGCCTGCTCCCTCTTCCTTATGACATCCTTTCACATATTTATACATGGCTATCATGTCTCCTCTCAACCTTCTCTTCTGCAGGCTAAACATGCCCAGCTCTTTAAGATCCTCCTTATAGGGCATGGTCTCCATGCCTTTGATCATTTTAGTTGCCCTCCTCTGGACACCTTCCAGCTTGACAATATCTCTTTTAAGCTGTAGTGCCCAGAATTAGATACAGTATTCCAGGTGAAGTCTAGCTCAAAGCAGAATACAAAGGCACTACAACTTCCCTCGATCTAGACACTATACTCCTTTTGATGCAGCTCAAAATCCCATTGACTTTTTTAGCTACTACACACTGTTGGCTCATGTTTAACTTGTTGTCCATAAAAACTCCAAGATCTCTTTCGCAGGGATTGTTGTCGAGCTAGACGTTACCCATTCTGTATCTTTGCATTTCATTTGTCAATATTCATAGTTAAATACGGTGCTTTTGAGAAGTGTTCATCTCTCCCCCTTGCTTTATTCATGCTTTGTTACTTTATAGTTTGGAATAACACAAGATATCCAGCACTGTGGAGATGAAAAATAGTTTTAACGGGGCATACAAATAAAAGTAAACAAAAGCGAATTCCAGGTGTTTCATTTTTTAAAAATTGAGTGGGGAGGACAGCTGCTGAGGAAAGACCTCCCTCCATCCCAACTACTACTGACAGTGTCCCCAGAGGGAGGGATTAGAAGTCAGCATCTGCTGCACTTTATCCGCTACCCAACTGCCATCCGCCTTTGTTTTGTGTATTTCTGAATTGTAAGATTCAGTGCAGGGAACTACTAAATCAATAAACTGACCATGTAAGCACTATGTAGGCATATGACATTATATAAATCAATTATTCAGTCATGCATAGAGACATAACTCAAGTCTACTTCCTTTATGGGTAAAATATCATTTTTCTCTTGCATTATTATTTACTACTACTACTACTACCACTACTATGTAGATCTAAAAAAAAAAATCCCACATTTTTTCCATCACATTTTTCTGAAATTTGTGTGAAAATTTTGGAAAGTTCAAAAAAAATGAACCAAACAAATTTTCCACCTTTCTTTACATTTTAGCCCATTATCTGTGTAGGGTTTCCTTAGTACATATACAATAGGTCATCAACAGGTTGTCTGCACATATCCTTTATTGGGATAATTATTTATTATTTATTTTATGTAGATTACTTATACACCACCTTTCTCCCTGTGGGGACTCAAGGCGGCTAACAATCACCCAGTCTGGTCACAGTTTCAAAACAACGCAAATACATTTTTTAAAAACACAGTTTGGGAGCAGCCACCAAAGAGGCCCATGTTCCCACAAAACGCACAAAAGCCAGGTGGTAAGACAGAGAGAAGACCCTCCCCAGTTGATTGTAAATGTCTGAATGATCCAGCCACCTCAGTAAGAGGAATGGTGAAAGGAGCCATGCATGTATTTTTATTTATTTGCTTTTCCAGCCTCAACCGAGCAATTATAAAGGTTGGTTGTAAATATAATGCACAAACTAGCGCTTGTGAATTCTTCAGGACTCTGATTTTCTTCTCTTTGACTCTGGGGACTATTTGCATACTGTCTTCCATGTCTTTGCTCTTTTTAGTGTCTCCTATTAACTCACAATCCCCTGGGCACAAGCTTTAAGCAAAGGTCTGCCATTTGGAAGCAGATAAAAATGTGTGCCGTTATTTAGTCTGCAATGCTCTAGAGAACCCATTTTTATTAAACTGTAAAACTGTACCACTGCTTTTGGTGGTTGGAATAAAATGAAGCTGATCAGCAATTATCTTGCGAGAAACACTGTAAAAACTAGTTATCCTTTGAAAAAAATTAGTGCAGCTTGTAATACATTTTTTAAAATTTTATTACATGGTCATTTCTATAGCTTGCAGAAAAGCATAATGAATACATGTCTGGCTATATATCTTGGTAAACTGGATGAAGTTATTTTCAGTCTTATTTTAAAGTCCCAACAGCCCACAAATATGTCATCCCTTGTGGTGAAATGGCCCAGTTTTATTTAGATTAGTAGCACTATTAAAAACAGGGCTTCTTTCATGTTCCTGGCCCTCTTCAACAACTTCATACAAAGTGGGATCGATAGTCTTTGTGCAGACACTAGTTAGATTGTTCCTATTCTAGAAGATGGGAGTTCCTTCCCTGCCTGGTGCCAAAATTTATTATTTATTTATTTATTTATTTATAACTCGCCCTTCTCAACCCCCAAGGGGGGTGTGTGTCTCAGAGCAGCTTACACTGGCAACAATTTGATGCCACAATGTACAAACAAATATAACAATAAAACAACAATTTAAACGATAAATAAAACAGTAGGTTAAAAACAATTTAAAGCATTACTATCAAGCCGTATAGCCATTTCCAGTCCTGTTCAACCTCCAAAGTGCTGTCATGCCTGCTGTCCAAAAGCCTGGTTCCAGAACCATAATTTCAGTTTTTTCCTAAAACCCCTAATTTCGCTGGGGGGTCACCACTAAGAAGGTCTTGTCCCTCGTCACCGCCAGACACGTTTGAGAAGCTGGTGGGACCGAGAGCAGGGCCTTACTGGACGATCTTAGACTACGAGGCGGAACGTAGAGGGAGATACATTCAGACAAGTTAGCTGGGCCGGAACCGTATAGGGCTTTATAGGCCAAGACCAGCACTTTAAATTCTTCTCTGAAGTGGACCGGCAGCTAGTGGAGCTGGCACAACAGAGGGGTGGTATGCTCCCTGTATGTCATCCAGTGAGTAATCTGGCTGCTGCCCGTTGGACTAGTTGAAGTTTCCGAGCAGTGTTCAAAGGCAACCCCATGTAGGATGCGTTGTGGTGTTGTCTTCAGTGGCTCCATCTTATCCATATTGCTTTAGGTACAGAACAGTTTGAAAGAATAATGGTTGAAGGTCAAACTAGCCCTGTGTCAAAGTGAAATGTATGTACCGTGAAGTGATTTTTTTCCCAAGAAGTTTCACCTGTACTGGATTGGGAAAAGTCATACATGCTTCTAGGTCCAGTTGCTACCTACAATCAGATCTGTGGCTACTTCCAAATAAGTCTTTTATCCTACAATTGTCTTTTCTTATTCACAAAGGTCTAGAACAGTGGTTCTCAACCTCCAGGTCCCCAGATGTTTTGGCCTACAACTCCCAGAAATCCCAGCCAGTTTACCAGCTGTTAGAATTTCTGGGAGTTGAAGGCCAAAATATCTGGGGACCCACAAGTTGAGAACCACAGGCCTAGAAAGCATCATGCCCTGAATCCTATGATAGTCTGAACTAGACGGAACGCTTCAAATCAATCAGATTTACCTAAGTGTTTATTCACCATTAAACAATTGATTTATTGAGTCTACTCTAGTTGAGGATTAACAAATAAGATTTATATTCTTATCTTGTTTGTAGCTCCCCAAAACTGTGCTGCCGCTGCTTCTTTCCTATTTCTTACCTTGAGTGACCTGTTTGGAAGGAGATGGCAAAAGAGTTGCTAAGAGTTAGGGGAATTAAGAAGTCCTGTTTGGAAAGACCATTAAAGTATCCTTAAAAAACATCTGAAGTCTTTTAAAAGAAGGCATCACTGCCCTTTAAGCTCATTCTACAGTATTTGTCTTCTCTGTGTCTGCAGAGAAGCTACCAATTGATTTGGATTGGATTGTGTGAAGCAACTTGGATTTCTAGGTTTCAATGTGAACAATGTGAAGTTAACCATATAAAGTTTATTAGTTGCTTGACACCGTCTTTAAATGGCTCAGAGCCCTGTATCATGTCCCATTTCTTCTGTACACATTGCTTGTGAAGAATTTTGTGTTTCTGCCTTTGACAATGTGCTGAAGGTATTTCCCCATACTTCCCCAATAACAACTTGCCAAACAATTTAAAATTTTAAAATATGATAAGACAGCAGAGCCTGTGCAGGCTTGGGTGAGATTTGGAGATCTCTAATTCATTGGGTCGCCATATGGTGAAGACAACTTGACACAGTAGTTTACAACAGCAACAAGATAGTTTCAGTACACAAAATATTTCTGAAAATAAAACTCCAAAAATTGATTGTACTTTCCTACTTGAAACAATACATTTGTGTTAGTTTCAAGATAATAATTTGGCCCTCTTCCAATGAGCAATTTTGCACATTTTACATAAAGACTGACACATATGCAGTTGCAACAAGTAAACTGAATCAACTTTTGGCATCTGAAATTTAAACTAGAAAATGTGTGGTCATATTATTTTAATTCCATATGTTAATAAAAGTTTGTTTTTTTAAGGAATTGTGTGATATTGAAACTACATATGGGTTTTTTCCATTCTAGAAAGTTCTTAAGAAAAATATTCAGCAGAAATACAATATTAAAACTTTTTGAAGAAGAGCTACTCAAGCCAGATATATAAATATTAAATGTCTGGAATTATAGGTATTAGCAGAGGCCTTTTGTGTCTGCTTTGTTCTCAATTTCTCATTTATCTTTTAGGCCTACAGCTGCAGAACTTTTAAAATGCAAATTCTTCCAGAAAGCAAAGGTAAAATACTACAAATAAATTTGTTCGGCATTAAAAAGTGAAATTTTCTGCTTCACTGGGATTTAACTTAATTGTAACAATGTTGGTTTTTACAGACTAGAGAATACTTGATTGAAAAATTGCTTACAAAGACTCCTGACATAGCACAAAGAGCAAAAAGGGTAAGGTTCCTCACAGCTTTGTTCCTTAGTGCAAGGCTCTTGAGGCTCTCGGGTAAGTGTGTATTTATTGGCGTAGACTAGTCCTTCTCAAGCTCTCTCAGGTGGTAGACTCCCATTTCCCCCCAATGTGCAAGAGACGTGAATTACATTTGTGTTGTGTTGTTATATTCACAAATATTCTAAAACCATGCCATGGACCACTGCTTCTTAAATTGTGGGTCCCGATCCTAACTTTAGATGAAAGTTGGGGTTGTAGAATATTTGGCAATAATGAAAGGTTTCTGAAATCTGCACATTTACAGAAATCTATTAGGAACAAACAATATGCAATGTTTTCACTTGATTCTGCAAAAAATGCTTCAGCTGTACTCCACAAAAAGGAAAATCAGCCTGTTTAGCAAGCCTTGTAGATGCTGGTTTATTATCAGTAAATGTTTGATTTTTATTACTATGGTATATACTCAGGGTTATGTAAATGTTTCTTGGGCAGAAAGGGGTCATGAGTTGAAAAGGTTTAAGAAGCCCTGGCATAGACTGGCAGCTGATGGCATGTAGATTGGCATGGTTCATGGTTCATAACCCCTTTGAGTAACACAATGGAGAATAAAGAATTGATTGGCCTTAGCATTGGGATTTATATTATGAGCATATTCACATTCACAATCCAGGATATGAAAATATATGGGATATATTGCCTGCCATGCAAATAATGACCTGAATCCAGGGGTATAATTCAACTGGGGTTTTTTTTTTTTTTGCTTCTGCCAGAATTGATGATGATTTCTTCCACTCTAATATGCTCTAAAAACCAGGCTAGAAATCTCAATAATGCTGTGAAGCAGATTTTTTGTATTTTGAAATTGATGTGAAACAATTTTATGAATTGACATTCTAGATGAAATGTTGTTTAATTAAAATTGTAAATGAAATAATGAACATCTATACAGACAAAACTAGGTAAGGGTTATTAGATTTTTTATAAAACTATAAATGTGTGTGTGGCTCTATTTTTTGGAAAAAGCCGCATATAATTATTCTAGTATCACAGTGTTTATGTTGCTTGACCTGTGATGATGGAGAGTCATGGTCATTTCTTGAAATAGTGTGCATAGTGAGCTACCAGCAAAAATTTTCTAGTGTCCCAATTTTGCTATTGCTTTCCCAACTTCTACTATTAGTTTGTTGTTTATTTCAGACACATGAGATGTTCATTCACAAACAGCCACTAGATGGAGGTTGTGGACCAGCTGTTCACTTTCTTAGCAGGCCAAGATAAGCATTCTCATTAAGGGTTTCCTGATTAGGGTAGCAGTTCCTCATCAAATGATTTTCAAATGCTGGCAGACAATTCGCCTATTATCTTTGGTGGATGAACAGAAATGTTTAGTGGCAATAATTAGTCCTTGTTTTTGAAAGCTCTACAGTCTCTCCCCCCCTTGAAATCCAAGGCAAGTGTTTGCATGTATTTGGAAAAAGAAATACCTTAACAAACAGCCTTTGTTCAAAACATTTGAAAAAGACTGCTGCGGTTGTATATGAGCTTCTTATACTGAATTTCTCATTAGTCAAGTTTTTGAAGCCTAGATGTTAAGTATTCAATCTGTGTTCTTTCCTTTCTTTAAACCTGGCAAGACTTTTTCGGTTAGCACAGAGGTGGGCAACTTCCATGATCCTTCATTAATATCTGTATATAACTCCTGCTTACATCATTAACAGAAGAGCCACATTTTTCCACCCATTTGTAAGCAGGAAAGATTTCATGGACAAGTAAACATGCCTATTGTATAATATTTCTCTCTTGTTACATATTCTTGAAAAATGTTTATCCTCTTGAAATAAGTTTTTTACTGTGGAAAAAAAGCCATTGGAAACTGGTGAATCCAATAAGAAGCCCTTCATATTTTAATGAGCTGAGCTTAGATTACTACTTTAAAAAATGGTTCACTGAAGCATTATTCCAGTATAGAAAGTTAAGTCACTAAGTTAGCTATTGTTAATATGTTAGGATTACTGCTAACTTTTGTGCCATTGAAAAACTCAGGGAAATCTCTCTATTTCCCCCCAAGTCGCCAATTCAGGCATTGCACAATAGACATTCTGAGAAAAATGCAAAACAGACTAAAGTAATCACCCCTGATAGCCACCCAGGTAACTTTTCCTCTTCCTATTGCTCAGATTGGGTCAATACACACACCCATCTATATGTATAGACCAGCAACCTGACGTAAATCCATTGAAAAATAATTATTTACAGTTATGTCCCAAAACAGTGGGACTATTGTAATGGAGAGATTGTGTGCTTCCTGTAAATCATGCCCAGTTCATGGTTTGGCTGCAACATTTTGGTGCAATTGAAACTTCTAAGCACTTTTCAAATGCTACCTGTTTGAGGAATCTATTGCAGTTTTTCAAACTTGTGATAATAAAAACATGTTGCTACTAACATATATTATGCTTTCAGGCATGTTACAGTTATATTTTTTCACCTTTAAGTTTTCCCCCCAAGCTTTTGGCATATAAGATATGAAGATATTTTTTTTTCCAGTAATGTTGGGGAATTTCGGAGAAACACTGTCGTGCTTCTTCTTCTCTGTATAAAATGGGTTATCTGTATCTTTTACCCCACTCCAGCCCATCTTTTGCAAGCATATACATTATATACAAGCATATATCAACTATGGGCCCCCTGGTGGTGCAGCGGGTTAAACTGCTGAACTGCTGAACTTGCTGACCAAAAGGTCGGCGGTTCAGATCCGGGGAGCAGGGTGAGCTCCCACTGTTAGGCCCAGCTTCTTCCAATCTAGCAGTTTGAAAACATGCAAATGTGAGTAGATCAATTGGTACTGCTTCTGAGGGAAGATAACGGCGCTCCATGCAGCCATGCTGGCCACATGACCTTGGAGATGTCTACGGACAATGCTGGCTTTTCAGCTGAGAAATGGAGATGAGCATCACCCCCCAGAGTTGGACACAACTAGACTTAATGTCAGGGGAAACCTTTACGTTTTTATTAACTGTATATAAATTTTATTATGCCAAGCTGTAGTTCCTGTTCTCATTTTAAGACTGTGCAGCATTTAAAGTTGCTCAACATTGTTTTGAGCTTTTTCTTCTTCATCTTTTTGAAATGCTCCATAGTTTTTGAAGCTGCACACTATTCTATTTTGTGCCTCCCCGCCTGTGTTTTAGGAGAGAGAGAAAACACTTTTGAAGTTGTGCAACTTCAAAGTTTTGTAACATTAAATTTGTGCAACATTGAAAGCTTTGGAGCCTACCATTTTGTTCTCTCGCCCCCATAGTTTTGGAGGAAAACTATGCTGCTTTTTGAGAGTCTGTGAAGCTTTCTTCAGAAAGTTACACAGTTTCCTATCACAGTGGGAAAACTCTTACTTCTGTGGTGTTTTGACACTGCAGGGCGAAAAGCTGATTTCCCCCTGACTTCTCTCAGGAATGGGAAGATCTAGAATTGCCGTCTGTGTATTAGGCTGATTTTTGTGTTTTAGAAAGATTGAAATTTAGTTGGATGTGGATCATAAACTGCAATGTTGAAGGCACAGGTAAGCAACTTGTTTCTAAATGTCAACTATCCTCCTTAAAAGGAAACTCCTCTAAGATTGACTTAAAATCATGAAACCTATATTTCTCAGGGAAAAAAAAACATCTGGCAGCAGACCATTCTATGTTATTACAATGGCAGCAGACCATTCTATGTTATTATATAGATTCGTGGGTTTGTGTAAGTTATTTGGGCTATATGGCCATGTTCCAGAAGCATGTGTTGGAGATTGTAGATATAAATAAATAGAAGCTTTACCACTGTTTCCGAACCAAAATATACCCTGCAGTATAATAATGTGTCACTTGGATTTGTGTAACAATTACAGTAACTTTACTTCAGTTCAAAAGGTCAAGCAGAGCAACAATATATACAGCAGCCTCTCTAAATTCTTACCGAGAACAGAGGGAATAAACAGTCCTTTAAAATAGTGGGTTGTTGTAGGTTTTTCGTGCTATATGGCCATGTTCTAGAGGCATTCTCTCCTGACGTTTCGCCTGCATCTATGGCAAGCATCCTCAGAGGTAGTGAGATCTGTTGGACTCACTCAAGTCCATGAGTACACACATCCACCTCTAATGAAGTGGTAAGCAGACTTACTACATTACTGAAGTCCAAAAGCAAACCAAACACAAAATAGAGTCCTGAGTTTGCACATGCTCACTACAATCACATCTATAACTCCTCCCACATTAAAGAGGTAAGTCAAACTGGCAAATCAACATACACACAGAATGCAGGCTAACAATCGTATATACATTAACAAACAGTTAGTGGAGGCTTGGAAGGTTGCGATTTCCAACATATATAACATTGGTCTGTGTGTTTTTATCCTTTTTGTCACTTTGGCTGCTGGTGCTGGGTCACGCTGCTGCTGATGGGTTGCTCTGCTATACCTTTATCTGGTCTTTTTGTTATTAAGCCCACTTGCCCAACAAAGGTTATGGGCTCAGCATGCTTCTGCATAGTTTTTAATGTTCATGCGTAGCTCAATGACATATTTTTATACCAATGGTTCTCAACCTGTGGATGTTTTGGACTTCAAATCCCAGGAATCCTAACAGGTGGTAAACTGGCTGGGATTTCTGGGAGTAGTAGGCCAAAATACCTGGGACCCACAGGTTGAGAACCACTGGTTTAAAGACTGTGGTTTAACTTCACCTAATATGGGTTGTCACAATGAAGCCTTGAGATGATCAGAAATATGAAATAATATTAAGTATTTATATTAATCTTAGAGTACAAAAGCCAATTTTCATTTATCCTATGATATATTATGTGAACAAATTAACCACTCGTACTCAACAATATATCTACCAAATTTAGTTCACATAGAGCGAAGCGATTGTTAAAGAGTATTTTCCCACTTTATATTTTAGCACTGAAACAAACAGCAGAGGGCAGCAGTCCATTTATTTTACATATTTAAACTAATATTAATGTT